ATAAGATACCCAGAGGCACTGGTTTGCATTAGGTCTTAATTTCCAACTAAATTAAAAGTCAAATTTAGGCATTCTGAATGCCTAAGGGGCACAAAAGCAGCACCCAAGAATCATTAACTTTTGCACCTTTTATAATATATCCCAAACCGGTCAGATTTGTTTTTCAAAATTTGTAGTAAAATAAAAGTGCTCTTTGAGGAAAATCTAAGCAATAAAACAGCAGATGCTTAACCCCTGAAAAATAGAGGCTTATAACAGAAGTGCTGATAGACCCTTAACCACAGCATCATTAGCAGCAGGTGCTGCTAGAGTTATTAGTTTCCTAAATAGTTTTAATGTAAACAGTATTCTTAAGCTCTAAGTGTAGCATAATGGTTGGGATTTGCTCTTTAATTCTTTTTACTAGAAAGATACAGCTCATTTAAAATAGCTGGTAGATACAGAAAGCATAAATATACAGTAAGTTTAGACACTGATTGTACTAAATGCAACAATACAAAGAAGCAAACAGGAACACAAATGGTAACACAATAAAACTGTATTACATTTGTGCTTCAAATATTACAATACATTATATACAATAGTCCAAAATAAACATCTCATGCCAAATGACACAAAAAGAAACGAAAAAACAAACAAACCAAAAACCCCAAGAGCAAGCAGAAAGAATCCAGCTGTATGTACAGTACCCTTTTAATTAACATTCAACTCTGAACTGGAGCAATTTTCACTACATACAGATGCAGTCCGCCTTTTATTTCACGCAACCATTCTGTCTCCCTATATCTATGCTATTCAGTAGGTTCCTGTGTCATTTCTTATATACATGTTGAGCAAAAAAGATAAAAGAACATAGTGCTTTGTACTCTTAATGATGTGGCATCAGATCAGCGAACCTGAGGTGCATAACCTTCTTTCATTAAACCCTCCTCATAGTCTGTCTGGCACAGAATCATGTTGTTCTTCAGGAAAAATTTGTCTCCAACGCAAAATCTGAAATTACAATAATAGAGGAAGTAAGAAGGTAGTTTTAGGATGAATGATGCGATATGATCTTACACGTAAGGACTGCACAACAAGTGTTCCCGATTTTGGGGTACCGACCGCCCGGCTCGCACCTCCTCCGTCCGTCGCAGCGCTTGCAGACACGTGTGCACGTATGTGAAAGCAGAGAAATTGCTCTGGTATCAGAATTAATCCTGTGCTTTCAACAAAATCTGGTGCATTCAAGCGCTTTCGCTTCCCCAGCCAAAGAGTTCGTTCAAAGACAAGTGTAGACTGTGGGAGTCTTGGATCAGGTCACCAGCACACAGATAAAACAGAATAAATATCCCAGACTACCAAGTTGAGTGAAAAGTAAATGTCCTGCTTTCATGCAAATCAGAAGGAAAACAAAGTGATGATATGCAGCAGGAAGTTCATCTGAGATAGGTTACATTTGTCTTGTGCGGGCGTAACGGTAAGAGCTTCTCGTTATATTCCAGTTGGGTATTTTCCTAGAGCTGATTTAAACCGGTGGATCTGCGAACCGTTTCCAGCACACACACCGCTTGCCATACATTGTGGTGCAAACCAGAGCCAGGCAGGCAGGTATGCAGAGAAACCTTTTCCCTTTTTTTCCTGCAGGCGTCGATTATAAACTTACCCTGCTAACTACGCTGTATCTCGTGGCATCGCTATGCCGACCTCATTACACTACTACGCACATCAGAATGATCTGATTGCTACGAAACGCCACTGAGGTATTTCATCCGGTTTTCTCTGATGAGTAGGAAAATCACGTAATGCTAACCCTCCTGGCAGGCTGGCTTCAAACTTCGAGTAAAGTAGGATTTCCCAGCTAAGCAGTAGGCTTGCATATAAGAAGGCTCTTCACTGACACCCCCTCAGCCCTTCTCCCCACCCCCTGCCCTCGACAAAGCCAATCTGCTTGAGGACACTTCGGGAGCGAGTGAATAGGGCCAACGCACAGAGAAAGAGTTTCCCTAGTGACTGCCTTGGCAGGGTTACGCGCCTTTGTTTATAGTGAACTCTCCAGCTATAAAATATATTGGGAGGCGCTGCTCACATTATTCCAATTAAAATGAAAGCAAGTAACCCAAATGAACCCCTTAACACTGATGTGAATAAATGAAACCAGTTTCTACCAGCTAATTATGGATCTCAGTACATGAAGCATTGTTTAATGTGTAACGGATTATAATGTCCTTTTTTGTATAATTTCCAAATGGTGACATCTTGGACACAATTAGGGTCAGATATAAATGCTTGTGTTGTTTACGGTAGATTTAACAACAGAGTAGCTATGGGAATAGCTTTATATGTATTTAATTGTAACAATTTAACCTTCAAAGAGTGGTGCCTGCTGTAGTTGACCCAGTAAAACTACGCAAACGACACAGGTTGACCCGCCTGACCCCCGATAGTGGTCTCTCTTTATCAGATAGTCAATTCCTAATGATGTTCGAGCAGAAATCTTGGGGAATTGTCACAGATTAAATTGTGTATTGAAAGCAGTCCTTTAATGTTTTGTGAAGTTGGAGGTTTAAATGAGTAGCAGTTGGACTGATTTACATTTGTGAAGATTGGAATGCTAGACAAACAGTGAACCCATTTATTTTCCAACTGGGTAGCTTTGGAAATTTATCCTTATGCTAGCTAAATAGATAGAAGGAAAATAGTGTAATAAAAAAGTGGATTGAAAAGAATTAGCTCTGCTCTTAAAGGAAAATTGGTTTGTTTATTTGTGGACTTTTTTTTTTTTTTCTGTAGGATTACTGCCTGCTGCTGATGAAGATTGAAAATAGAGATTATGGAATGATCCCGAAATCTTTATGTTATTTATGGTCAAGACTCTTTTATAGAATTTACAGGTTCCCGCTATTCTTCCCAATCCAATCCTGGTATATCAGGCTCATAACAACAGAAAAGTATTTTGAGTAGGTGTAATGAAATGCAGAATTCTTGAAACAAAGTTGTTCTTTGGTGTTTCTCTAGTTTCCATCCTTTGTATTCTTGTCCATTGACAACAATGCTGACAAAAATTCTTTTGTGCATTTTACCACATTAGGTGAAGGAGTCTTACCTAGCGCTAATATGTAAAAGTGTTCTTCCCAAAGAAGTCACGCTTAAAACAAATAAATATACAAATAAATAAGCAAACAGTCCTTTTGAGTTCCTCCTAAAGGAACATACGGATCAATGCGGACCGAAGCCGGGGAAGTTAGGCACTGTGACAAATCAGTCACCCCAGTACAGTTAGCCCACGGATTACCCACGGGGACTGAGCAGGGGAGGCCTGGCCAGCGGTGCCCACCACATCAAAGGGTTATTGCGCAGTGGGGCATCTCTCCCTGCGGGTCGGGCACCAGTGGGAGACACAGCCACCTCTGCTCACCCAGCAGAAAGCACTAACTCTGAACTGGGAATGTTACTCAGGTACATATTCCTTTGTGTTCCAGAGTAATACAGGGCTTAGCAGACTAATTTGTTTAAAATACTTAGTAAATGAAAAATACGCTGCGGAAGTGCAGCTCACTTGCACAGCAATATTACCACGTCACTTCTTGCAATATTGCTTGCATTAAAACTGGCTGGCTGAAGGATTTTGGTTCTCAGCCCTCAGAGAAGCACCACGGTTGGAATTAAACTGCACCAGCTACGCCAGGGAGTCGGGAGGCCTTTCCCAATAAAAAGTGTCAATGCCTTTTGCTTTTGCGATGTTAATACGTCGAGCCAGAAATGCTCTTACCTATGTCTACATGGCATTTGACAGCTTTATGCATGAGTGGCTTTAAACATACACAGTTCCACAAATCATCTACTGCCCAAGCATACAGCTGTCTTGTGGAGACCTGCCAGTGGCCTGTCTAGACACGCCTGGCTGTGTGATAACCTGTGGGGTGGGGGTCTGTCTGCATGTTTAGGCACCCTCTGGGTTCTTCTGGGGCCGTGCTTGCACACTGGGGATGATCCTCTGTGCCTTGGGGGAAACCTGTTGCTTGCGATACTTACAGTCCAAACTCCGCGACCGTTTTCATATTGTGCAAGTTCAGTGACTGAAACACACTGGTGAAGCCTGAGGTGAGGCTTGCATGTGCCCCTGGGTATTAAATGAGTGAACTACGCACTCATTAGGTGACAAAGAGGCAAGCACCAGGCAAAAAACATATCAATGCTAGCTCCCCAGTCCCAAGAGACAAGGCAAGTAGACAGATGAAGTATGACAAATTCTGTCCATTCACACCTTCAACCTATTTGACTCTCAAAAGCAGATTTAGCCTCTTTTGAAGTCAAAGAGCTAAGTCTTGCAATTACTTCAGATTAGTTTTGCACATTCCAGGATTTAAACCTGGCTCAGCTTTAAAATGGAAGGGTCAATTCAAGCCTACCCTTCCACCTCTGGCAAGTGGTGGTTTTTTTTATAGAACTGGCATAGGATGTAAATCAGGGCACAACTTGGGCACATACATCAAAGGGAGTCAAGAAGCATATTAAGATGCCAGTGGGTTAGACAATGAGGGAGGCCCATTACTCTTCTAGCAGGCAGGTGGTAGTCTTCAGCCTTCTCTAAAACACTCACCCAATTTTATTTAATAGGCATGCAAGATGAACAGGAAAAAAATATACAATAGGCTGCATTAACATGCCAGATTGGACTTACCATCATAAATTGATAATACTACTTTTGACACGACTGTGACATTAGTAGAATGACCATTATAATTAACCTACATCCCAGAACTCCTGTCATATTTTACAACGGCAAAAGGAAGGCCATTTATATTACAAAATGACCTCTGTTATCACCTTGTTTGGAAGGAGAAGGTGTGCCTAGACTAATCACAAGAAGTATAAAACTTCCATTTTGAGAAATAGCTATTCCATTGTTCAGATATTTAAGGAGATCTCTCTGCTGTCTGTCATCTTTCCTGAGGTACAGGACGTATGTCAAGGTACCGAAGACTTCTTAAGAAAGCGAGAAAAATATTGCCGTGCGCAAAGATGGCTGTGTGTGCCTCCTCTGGTACTATTAGATCTTTGTTGTTGTAGAAAGAAACAAAGTCTGGAAGCATTTAATTAATTTTCTCCAGGATAAAGCAAGCTCAGGCTTACCGCACCCACACCCTTCCCCTCTGCTTTGTGCACTCAGTGACGTAACTTGTCCTCTGCTTTTCCTCCTTTTTTTAAAGCTCCTCGGAGTTCCCCGTATAACCCAAACGGATGTTAGCCCGTATGCATCACTAAGAGAACAAAGCCACTCTTTCACATCGCAGTTCATCCGTCCACACCTACGGTTTACTAATCCTAGGTTTCTATCAAAACGCCCATTTACTGTCAAAGGTTGCAAAGCAGGAGCTGTGCCTGGATGGGTACATTTTCACTCGTACCATGCAGCACATATACGCAGAATCCTAGTTCAACTTAGAGTGACAAACCCCAACTTGGTGTGCTTGTCATTCACTAATTTGGTTTTTTTTAAGCAGGTATGGAAAATGCATTAATTTTTATTCTAAATTTAGGGACACTCAATGAAAATAAGCACTATTCAAATCTTCAGAATTTATAAGATGAGTCATGCAAAAATATAATGTTGGTGTTTGAAATAAGGATGTCCCTGGCATTGCATTCCCTCCCCCTGCTTGACGGAGAACAAAGGCAGCATTGTGTGGGCACTTCACAGTTTATGCTGGAGGTAAGTGCTTACAGCTACACCAGGACAGCGATGTGAATGAGCGTGTAACCATTTTCAGTCCAGTTCCCATTAGAGGAAAGGCTGCTTTGGATAGAAGGATAGAAGAGTTGATTTAAACACCCCTCAGTGAGAGCAGATGGGGGTTTTGAACCATAACCTGAGTTGACTTCAAACAGCAGAGAGAAAATATCACAGAAGTATGAAACAAGCTGCTAAAGCAGCCGACAGTGAAAGGAAGGACACGGAAACTCCGGGAAGTGGGAAAGCCGAAGGCAGGCTGACATCAGCGCTGCAGTCAGAAGCGTCAAGCAAAGATCCAGCTAGGCCCACTCGCAAGATTTTCCACTCCATTTTGCTAGACACACACAGCCAACCTGACAAAGTGTGAAAGGCAGTGTCTGTTTACAAGTTCATTTTTCCAGTGGTTTCCATTTTTTTTTCCTTTAAAATTTCTGCATATATTAACTATACTGAGGCTACTGCCAATGTGGGGTGAAGTGCTTCTGAGGAGTTGCTTAATATGCTTACAGAGAAGAAAGGGGAGCACTCACCCCATTAAGATGACTGTCACTAAGCTCTGAGGGTATTCAGGAGAGGGAAAAACAAATTAAAAGTAAGCCGGACAGAGACATTCAAGATAAGGGGATGCTAAAAACTTTCAGCTAGGAGCAGGGCTTAATATTCCCAAAATCCCTACAGCTTTAAGCATCAGCATCAAGAAGAAATGGGGAAAATATGTCAAAAATTGGCTGGATGGAGCAATTAGAGCTGGAGAGCTTTATGAAAGGGAAATTACGGGACATTGCCTGTTTGACATCAGGGGACTTGGCTCGGTGGCTCAGGAGATCCCTTACAGTCCTATCTACAGTCTGCCTTCCTAGAATATAGTATGAGATATGTTTTTCTTCTCACTCTGAAAATGTAGCTTTCAGGAGGCCAATAAAAGGGGACAGGAACATTATGAGTTAGTACAGAGACAGAGTTTATGGCCTGAACAAAAGTCCTTTGAAATCAAGGGAGCCTAACTACCATCCACACTGAGACTCGAGTGGATGGTGAGTTGTAGATACTCAAAAATAATACAGCAAACACTGAAGATGTGCATAAAAGCAGGAAAATCACCAAATCTTTCACAAAAAGCAGCAGGAAAACCAGGCAGGCCCCTCTCACCTGGGCCAGGATCAACTACTTCAAGGGCAGGAATATGAGGGTCATGCAACAGCAAGCCTGAAGTGCAGGCTGCCCTGAGGATCGGTGTGATGTGAGTTAATATAATTATTAGCAGGCTTGAAAGGCAGAAGGCATTGGAAGGTGCAACCAGGATCAAAACGTCCAAAGAAATTCAGTGTTGGCAAAGACAAAGGAATGCAAACGAAAGAAGCATTCTAGTCCACCCATGAACATCTCTGTTAGGAGAAAGCCTAAGCGGCAGGTGATAACTGAAATCTGAACTATGGAACCAAACAGACAGCATTACATACTCTCTGGTAGTACTCCAGCTCTGCTGTACTTGTATCTGTGTAAAGAACGACCCAAGGATTTAAAATTTAATGGGGGAAGAGAATGCTAAGGTGGGGAATAAGGTCAAACATACACATCTTGCAATAGCCTTGCTATCTCCGTTGGTGATTTTTTTGGATCTCTCTGATGTGTTTGTAAATAAAAATTTCCTTTTCACTGAATAAATCCCACATGAGGGATAGTGGCTGGAGTGAAAGGGAAGAGCAGATCTAAAAAAGAACATTACTTGGCATACAAAGGGGCAGCATGGAATAAAGACAGACAATTAGATTGCCATCTTATAAACTCATCCTCACTCGGAATCTGCTGTTTGGTTTTAATTAGCTTAACTAGAGGGAGAAAAAAAAGGATATGGAGAAAAGCAACAGAAATTATTAATGGCATGGTGACTGACAAGATTATTGAGTTTAAAAGAAAAGAAAAAGAGGTTTCCTAGCAGATATAAAAAGACTCCAAAACCGGTGATGGGTCAGGTGTCTAGCATTTCTATTTTTGATTGCTATACAAGCAATGAAAAACAAAAGATTTAAAGCTATTTATTAACGAGAGAATGTAGTCAGTGGGATGCTTTGCCATAGGAACCACAGAAGAGCTACGCTGGAGCATCCATGAAATAGGATTTATTACAAAAAACAACAAAATTAATTCTTCAGAGTACCACTAACCCCAAATCGTGAGGAAGAAAGGTACCCTACAGGCAGTCTGTTTTATTAGGCTCCATGAGAGCTATTGCAATAAAATCAGGATTAGGGCCACTTTTGAGAATTTCTGAAATTCTTTGAAACTTCTTTGAAACTGCTCCCTGTTTTGACTAGATGAACTAGACTGTATTTCAGGTAAATCAATTATTTTGTGCTCAGCCTAAGTCTCCTGTTAAGACTATTTTAGCAACCCTTTGCCCAAACTACATGTAAAGTAAAAATCAACTGAGAGACTAGATTGAAGGCTCAGGAATGACAAGGCTAAGAATTATTAAATATCCCTGGAAATCTCTGTTTCAGAAGCACCTATCAGCACTTTTCCAGGGGGATCAGTGGCTCTGATATGATGTATATTAGCCACAAAGTGAAATTGTACATTAGTTCATGCTTGTAATGGTAAAAGGGGCACTGTAAAAATAGTCACAGCAGCGTTGCTTTTAGGGGGCAAGAAAAAGAAAGTTCACTTCCTCAGATGCAAGAGTGCTAACTATGATGAAAATCTTTTGCACTCAGGGCAACAAACATTGTCTGCTTTGCTTGACTGATGAAGATTAGCTGACTTCTTACATTAAAGAAGTTTGTCTTGTATGGGCTGAAGTGACAAGACAATAACTAAGTGCTAATTGTGCATAACCAACACTAAAGATATGCAGCCCCATTATGGCATGTAATAAATGAAGCGAACAACAGAAATATATTAGGCACTTTAATAATGATACTAGAATCACGGTGTGAAAAAAAGGGGGATGTGAAGGGTTTAAGAAACGAAACCTAGGAGTGTGTCTGACTCAAGCGGGTAGTACTGGAGGCTCTGCCTGCCTTACACAGAATACAGCCTCTTAGTTCTGTAGCAAGACAAAATTGATATAGGACTTTAAACAGCATTAGAACCTATAATTACTTTGCATTATTATATAGTTTAAGCAATGGTTATTACTTGCCTGGTATTTTAATTTCCCATGCAACATGATGAAAAAGGTCAATTTGGCTTTTTTTAAAGAGCATAATTGTAGTGTGCTACACTTATTAGCAGCTGTACATTTTATGGTTCTTTAGGGAGGTTTGATTTTTAAATGACTACAGTGTTACAAAATAATACACTGTAGGACAAGGTGAGTTAGCAAAGCTTATTTAGAGCTGTATCTAACTTTGGTGTGATAGACTATTATCTTCCTAATTTTTCGTTACTTCCCTAGAAATGTTCATCTTGTCTTTCTTCCCGCCTGAAAATGAAAAAAAATATGAACGCTATAAAACTCTAAATAGGATCATGTAATAACCGAACCCCCGACCCCCCCCCATAATAGGTACATTAAGGAGCGGACATAATTGGTTCCCTCATTTCCTACACCTCATAGAAGTCACTGGCAATGCTGCTAGAAGCTCTTCGTGGAGTCGGAAATAGAGCTCTGGGTGAAATCTCTGACAGGATTTGGCCATCACCCTGAATGCAGTTGCTCTAAGTTCGGCTGTATTTGCCTCTGAAAAGTTCAGTTGTTATAATTTCACCATTTTTGACATGCATTCTGCAACTCTACCATATGGGTGATGCTTCAGAACGAAGTGTCAGGTTTGGATCCTTGGGATTTTTATAACCTACAGTTAGGATATGGAAATAAAAATATGGCATAAGAAGTCCAATGTTGCTACAGAGAAAATGGTGAGAACAACATCTTGTAAATTTAAATTATTACAGTTCTGGCAACAGGAAGAAACAGCATGTATGTTAAAATAAATACATTTGATAAAAATGAAGAATTAAAGTAAAATTAATGAAAGAATGACAAAGGGTGCTCCTATGCTCTTCTGCAGAAAAGGATCTCAAAGTCCTTTATAAATATTAATTAATTAACCTTGACAGCCAGCCTTTTGAAGGAGAGAAAGTAACATTATTCTTTTTTATTGATGCAGGATTTGAGGCACAAAAACTTTTCTGGCCAAGGGCATGAAAGATGTTCTGTATCAGTCTCAGGAAAAGTATCCGGGTCTTACTTTCAATCTTGGGTTTCCACTACTGGTCGCTGTTTCCTCTTCACCTGACTGTGTGCCCCCACCGGTGCCGAATTAGCACTTAGCTTATGGAACAGACCCAAAAATTCTCTTACCTCTGATTACAAAGTTGACATGCAAAACAGTCCAGGTGATAAACATTGTCCTTTGCTCTCATCACCATCTCAAAAGCAGGTATGAGCTTACTGCAGGCAGCACAGTTTCCTGTAACGCCAAATAAC